TAAACAGAACTATAATATATTAAACAGAACAACAAAATATTGAATACAACTAAATAGAACTATAATATGTTAAACAGAACAACAAAATATTGAATACAACTAAATACAACTATATGTTAAACAGAACTACAAAATATTGAATACAACTAAATAGAACTATAATATGTTAAACAGAACTACAAAATATTGAATACAACTAAATAGAACTATAATATGTTAAACAGAACAACAAAATATTGAACACAGCTAAATAGAACTATAATATGTTAAACAGAACTACAAAATATTGAATACAACTAAATAGAACTATAATATGTTAAACAGAACTACAAAATATTAAATACCAATTTAGTAATAGTGACCAGACATTTTGTTCCAAAATCAAACTACTAATACCCAAGCGTTATGTGTCCAACATCACATTCTTGGAGTCGAAGTGTTATGTGTTCAACATCACATTCCTGGAGTCGAAGTGTTATGAGTCCAACACCACAATCCTGGAGTCGAAGTGTTATGAGTCCAATATCACATTCCTGGAGTCGAAGTGTTATGAGTCCAACACCACAATCCTGGAGTCGAAGTATTATGAGTCCAATATCACATTCCTGGAGTCGAAGTGTTATGAGACCAATATCACATTCCTGGAGTCGAAGTGTTATGAGTCCAACATCACATTCCTGGAGTCGAAGTGTTATGTGTCCAACATCACATTCCTGGAGTCGAAGTGTTATGAGTCCAACATCACATTCCTGGAGTCGAAGTGTTATGTGTCCAACATCACATTCCTGGAGTCGAAGTGTTATGAGTCCAACATCACATTCCTGGAGTCGAAGTGTTATGAGTCCAACATCACATTCCTGGAGTCGAAGTGTTATGAGTCCAACATCACATTCCTGGAGTTCGCTTTCAATGCAGTTGCTTGTGCTGCCGTATACAGACTCTTGCAAAATTTGGGATTTTTGAAGTAAACTTAAGTAAAAAACAACTCCCGCTTTCTGTTTCAAATAATGTTTGTCAGCACATTTCTTCCTTGACCGTGTTGTATTTCACTTCTCGCAAGATTTGGCGTGTTAACTGTATACAGTGTGCAATACGTACTAACAGGAAAGTATGTTTATAGATATAAAATCATGTTTCCCGAAACAAAACTCTTATTTCTAACTAGATTCATCACACATGCATTTGCTTTGTAGCTGAACTATAAGTTTTGTTTTAAGTGTACTTTTCATTTTGTTCACTATATTTTTATAGGTTGTTCTGTGAATTTCAAACTTAAGTTTATTCCTCATTATCTGATCAATCCCTTGCGTCGTCCAACTCAAACTATGATAACTGACAGTAGTTATTTGAAGATTTAATTATTTTTTCTCGATCTTCAATTTTTTCTCTGTATTTTGTCAAAGGAATAAGAAACTATTATGTAACTTGTGAGTTTAAGTACTTAAGTTTATTCTAATTCATCCCCGGTTTTTGTGTTGTAAAAAGAAGAACAACAAAAAAGGGGAGAGAGAGAGAGAGAAGGTTTCCACTATACAGGTCTTGGTTTTTATAAGCTGAACATTTTTTGTGTTACAGTTCTAACTTACCTTTCTTCTTTGTTAGATATAAATAGTTTCGTGTTACACATAAATAATTTCGTGTTACATAAATAGTTTCGTGCTATACATAAAAAGAAAGTCATTGGAGAAGATCTCCTGTTTACAAAGCACAGATATCCAGTCCAGGCTTAAAAGTATCCTTCAGTTTCTCCGATCATACTAAGATATAAAGTACCCTCCAGTCTCCGATAATATCAAGATATACAGTGCCTTTCAGTCTCCGATAATATCAAGATATACAGTGCCTTTCAGTCTCCGATAATATCAAGATATACAGTGCCTTTCAGTCTCCGATAATATCAAGATATACAGTGCCTTTCAGTGTCCGATAATATCCAGATATACAGTGCCCTCCAGTCTCAGACTACAAAAAATTAGATGTCATTTAATTTTTTGAAAGAAAACAAACAAAATCGTGTCCTTCCTATTTTTATAATTCAGAATTTCTTCGAAAACAGTAAACAACATGTTATTACACAAAAAAGATTAATGTTGAAATTTATAATGAAATCGTCATTGGAATCCACCCTAAAATTTCAGAATGAAAGACAATTAGTTCTCTGATAATAGAATGTGACCTCGTCTAGACGTTATACAATTAAATAATTTATAATCTCAAACTAGTTGTATTTTTAGTGCCTTTTTGAAGGACAATTTTTATAATGAAAACGCTGTTAAATATAGTTTTAAAGTTTCTTCATTTGGAAAAAAACAAAAAACCTTACATTTGATAAAACTATTTATTGTGCTAGATTTTACGTTATTTACTTGTCCAATTTACCTTTAAATTAAGTGTTACGGGGTATCTACCTTTAAATTTAGTGTTACGGTGTAATTTACCTTTAAATCAAGTGTTAAGGTGTAATTTACTTTTAAATCAAGTGTTAAAGTGTAATTTACCTTTAAATTAAGTGTTAAGGTGTAATTTACCTTTAAATTAAGTGTTAAGGTGTAATTTACCTTTGAATTAAGTGTTAAGGTGTAATTTACCTTTAAATTAAGTGTTAAGGTGTATTTTACCTTTAAATTAAGTGTTAAGGTCTAATTTACCTTTAAATTAAGTGTTAAAGTGTAATTTACCTTTAAATTAAGTGTTAAGGTATAATTTACTGTTTGACTATTTTTTCACGTGCATGTGATAAAATATGGCTAGAAACTGGTCCAGAAGGATACAAACCAATTTTATATAAAAGATACGTAGATGATTCATTTGTTTTTTAATGAACAAGTTCATGTTAAATAGTCGCAAAAAAACAAGCAACCATCAGTTACCTTTTTGTAACTTTAGTTACTTCTAGAAGATTTCTTCAAGTTGACTGTTTTCGCTTTATTTCAAAAATGGTAAAAAAAAATCAACCAGTAATCTAATCTGTATAATGTGTTAAATATCATCAGAATATATTCAAAGAGAATGTAACAATATCAAGCACTTTTTTATAAAAAAGAATTAGAAAAACAAAACTTTTCATTTTGTTACTAATGTGTTTAATAAATGTTTTTAAGGAAGTCTAAAGTCCCATTCATCTAGTGTCAAATATTCCACAGCGTCTTCGGTGAAACAAAATTAAAAGAACTTATCCACAAATTAATTTGAGAATTATTTTTCAATCAGAAAAAAAACTAAATCTCTTGGATATTAAAGACAGTATCCCGTTCCCACGTCGTTTACAAATAGAGATTATGCTGAGTTAATATTCAAATATGTAAAACAAGCATGAACACTCAAAGAGAACAAGCGTGGAACTGTAGTATTCTAGTATTCTAGTTCACTGCAACCAATTTTCATTTATAGGTCCAATTGATTGTGAGAGGATGCTTCAAATTCAAGAAACTTTATTTATCAAGATTTTAAAACCTAAGATTAATGTAAACCAAACTTCAGTGACATTAAGCCTAAACATCTGAGTAAATGTTTTCATTCGATTCGAGTGAAGAACTTGATTCATGAAACTAATAAAAATAAAGTTTAACTTAAATGAAATCACCGATCTCTTTGAACTGTTCTGTTTTATAGATAAGCCACTTTGAACTGTTCTGTTTTATAGATAAACCACTTTGAACTGTTCTGTTTTATAGATAAACCACTTTGAACTGTTCTGTTGTATAGATAAGTCACTTTGAACTGTTCTGTTTTATAGATAAGCCACTTTGAACTGTTCTGTTTTATAGATAAGCCACTTTGAACTGTTCTGTTTTATAGATAAACCACTTTGAACTGTTCTGTTTTATAGATAAACCACTTTGAACTGTTCTGTTTTATAGATAAGCCATCTAAGGTAGAAAGTGCCCTCCAGTCTACAACTTTATTCGAACATTCTGCGACAAAAGCACTTGATCATGATTACTCGTCTTGCTCCTCAACGATGTGGGAAAGTGATTCCTACTGGACTGCCTTTTTGGAAAAGGAATTTATTGTGACAGCAATCCGTCTAATTCTACCAACACGTGAGTACATCGATACATTTATCAAATATAATTATTAAGTATGCGATTTCGGAGTTTGTGATTTACCTAAAATATGTTTACGGTCCTGGCATGGACAGGTGGATAGGGCGCTCGACTCGCAAACTGCGGGTCGCGGGTTCGGATTTCTATCATCGAACATGCTCGCCCTTTTAGCCGTGGGTGCGTTATATTGTGACTATCAGTTCCACTATTCATTGGTAAAAGAGTAGCTCATGAATTGGCGATGGGTGTTGTTGACTAGCTGCCTATCACTAGAATAGTTGTATATCACGGCTTAATTAGATACAGACAACCTTCTAATAGCTTTTCGCGAAATTCAAAACATGAAATATGATTATTTCGTTGGAAAGGGACGGTGGGGGCTATAGTTTGGGCTATGTAGTTATCTTATAGTAAAGGTTGGGTATTATCCTTTGGGCTATGTAGTTATCTTGTGTTAAGGGTTGGGTATTATCTTTTGGGCTATGTAGTTATCTTGTGGTAAAGGTTGGGTACTATCCTTTGGGCTATGTCGTTGTCTTGTGATAAAGGTTGGGTATTATCTTTTGGGCTATGTAGTCATCTTGTGGTAAAGGTTGGGTAGTATCCTTTGGGCTATGTAGTTGTTTTGTGGTAAAGGTTGGGTACTATCCTTTGGGCTATGTAGTTATCTTGTGGTAAAGGTTGGGTAGTATCCTTTGGGCTATGTAGTTGTCTTGTGGTAAAGGTTGGGTATTATCCTTTGGGCTATGTAGTTGTCTTGTGGTAAAGGTTGGGCATTATCCTTTGGGCTATGTAGTCATCTTGTGGTAAGGGTTGGGTACTATCCTTTGGGCTATGTAGTCATCTTGTGTTAAGGGTTGGGTATTATCCTTTGGCTATGTAGTTGTCTTGTGGTAAAGGTTGGGTACTATCCTTTGGGCTATGTAGTCATCTTGTGTTAAGGGTTGGGTATTACCCTTTGGGCTATGTAGTCAACTTGTGGTTTAGTTGAAACCATGTTGTCCTGAAAGTTAGGTTACAGAATTTCCTTCAAGACCATGTATGTAAGAAGGCTGGGGGTTTCAGTACACAATCGTGTAACCATGGAAACTACCTTGTTACAGTCAAAGGACTAAGTAAACATGAACGTTTGAGCGCTATGTCTTGGGAAAATAAAATCGTAGGAACCGAGGGTACATTTTAGGCCCATACAGTTACAAAAACAAAACTCTTACTGTTCAGAAGAACTATATTGCCATGGAGACAAGATATCGATCAGAACCCTGTAGCTATAAAAACGATATTATTACTTGAGGCTATGTAACTGTGGTACCTGGGGTTTGGGGCGGGTGGAGAGTAATCCTGGACTGTGTAATCATAGTAACTAAGTAATTGTAGTTCAGATCACTAACCCATGGCAGCTGAAAGTTATAACACATTTACTTCCTGCTTGTAATACTTATCATGTAACATTGTAACTATATTATACAACAAAGAGAGCTTGTTGCAACATAAACTAGTTTGTTTAGTTTGTAACACTGTCACTATAGTATACAACAAAGAAAGTTGTTGTAACGTAAACTAGTTTGTTTAGTTTGTAACATTGTAACTATACTATACAACAAAGAGAGCTTGTTGCAACGTAAACTAGTTTGTTTAGTTTGTAACATTGTAACTATACTATACAACAAAGAGAGTTTGTTGCAACATAAACTAGTTTGTTTAGTTTGTAACACTGTCACTATAGTATACAACAAAGAAAGTTGTTGTAACGTAAACTAGTTTGTTTAGTTTGTAACATTGTAACTATACTATACAACAAAGAGAGCTTGTTGCAACGTAAACTAGTTTGTTTAGTTTGTAACATTGTAACTATACTATACAACAAAGAGAGCTTGTTGCAACGTAAACTAGTTTGTTTAGTTTGTAACATTGTAACTATACTAT